CACCCCCCACACAGGATACCTCACGTGTGCAGAGCAGCTTCATACCCACTTCTCCCTGGAATTGGAATCCATACTGAGCAGAGGAGGGCAGGCTGGAAAGGCTAGTGGTGAGGGTGGGAGGAGCACTGGTTGGGACTGAGACAGGGCTGAGTTTAAACTCCACTCTGAGACTTACTACCTGGAGATCCTGGGCAAGTTATATAACCTCGCTGTGCGTCAGTTTTTCTTATCTGTAAAATTGTTTCCTCAAGAAATGCCGACGTGGGGAGGGGCCACTTGCAGCCTTTGGGTGCTTGGGAGGGAGGCTTCACCCATGTGAGTAGAAGGCTCACGCTGGCTCGTGGCCAGGCAAACTTCCCTAGCAGAATGGTGGCTGTCGTCGCTGGAGGCTACCCCATTCTCTCTCTGAGCCCTCCTCTCACGAAAGCTATTTTGCACTTGCTAAAACTGAAGCTGTTGCAGCATCTGAGCCCACTGCCGTGGCTGCAAGTTAGTAACGCTCGGTACTTAGGCACTGAACGACTGAGTCAATGATTGTTTAGATAACTGTTCATGTGAAGAACAAGGAACAAAAACATGGGAAAGTCTGTTGACAAAGTCCTTGTAGGTGAATCATCTATCCTGGCCAAAAGAAGCATTCTTACGATAGTGGAAACGCAGTCATTGCGACTGGACTGGGAAGTAGGCCTAAACCCCAGGTTCAGGCCCTACACAAGACCCGGGGGGCTGCACCTACAGGGGTCGGTGCCCTGTGCTCGCTGGCTCTGCGGCATGCCCCCACCCCATAGTAGGGCAGCCTCCATTTAGTGCCAGCAGTGGTCTGGGCTCCCCTGTGGAGGGAGTGGGTCCACCATGGTGCTTGGAAATCTGGCCTCCTTGAAAGCCAGCTGGTGCCTTCCTGAGCAGTACGGAATGCCATCTTGGCCTACCGGCCTACCTACAAGCCACAGTAGTTGCGTCCCTAGTGCATGCTCGAGCCTCCAGGTGGTTCTCTGGTGCCCTCTACCGGTATTTTGGTGCACGACAATGACGCCACAGAAGCCACAGAAGTGCTCAAGCAATGACTCCCCTCCCTACCCACTCTCAGGGGCCTCCCTCCACAGAGATGTAACTGCCAGACCCTTGTGAACCCCAGACCTAGGCAGGATCCTCCAGACTCAGACAAGAGTTGTGGCCTCCTCTGTTTGCTGTGGGGTTCAGTTCAAGAGTCACTTGGCAGTATTTGTGAACTCCCCATCCCCCAGCCTCCCAAGGACAGAAACTCATCACTCATAAATTACTCCTAACCCCTTCCTTGGTGACCGTGGTCCTGAGGTAGGGAGATGTGGCTGCGTGCAGACAATGAGAATGAAGGCCAGAAGCTTTGGAGGCTTATTATTTTTCAGGGAGATGTGCTACTAGAACTTTCAGGGGTCCCTGGCCTCTGCTGCTCTGTGCCTCGGCGGCGGCCCAAGTTGTGCTCCAGGTCCTTGGGTGGGGCAATGAAAGGCCAGGTGTAAGAACTGGGGATTCATTATTCAAGGAAGACTGGAAGGTGAGGGAGAAGGTAAAAGGGAACCGAGCAGGCATGCGGCCAGAGAGGACAAGGACAGGCACAAGCAGCTCTATAAAACCTACCCAGTGGGGTAAGGCACGTGCAACTTCTGTGTCGCTGTTGGAAGACATGTCCTCAGGCCTAAGGAGAGCTGGAGTGGGAGGCAGAGCACACACTGCTGACACCTGAGAACTGAGCTCAATTCGACACCTACAGATCGGTAGAAAATGCTGCGGGCTGCAGGACTGGGGTCATTTCAAGGAGGAAAACATGGGCAATGTGTCCCTTCTTGGAAGATCTTCCCTCCTAACTCAAAGAGGACTTCGGGGTTTCCTCAGAAGACCCGGGGAAAGACAGCAATGGGTAGAGGTCCAGGGGAAGGTTTGAGCTCAGTTACAGAAGTTGGCAGTATTTCACCAAAAGCCACAGGAAGGGGGCTCCTTGTCACTGGAGTATGGACACCAGACAACTATTGTGAGGTACATGTGAATAGAGTTTTCATTTTGAACAATGGTGTGCGACAGCACCGGTGTTCTCTACACAGAGGATCCAAGTCCATCATAAATTACTGCCTTTCACTGTAGAACAACACACAACATCACTGTTAATGGGTTTGCTACTCATGTGTGACCGAGTGGGCCTGTGGTACTGCATGCTGATGTCTGTGTGGTTGTCAGGTGTTGGAGAGACCCAGATTCTGGCACTGGGTCACTATGGACCATAGGGCCTAGTCCATTCTGTTCCTTAATTAACCAATGAATGGATGTCAGGAAACCCCTATTTCCTTCATTTCCCTTAGTAAAATGTAGCCCAGCTCCTGGGAAGGGCTTGAAGAGCAGTGGAGAGGGATTCTCTAGCCCAGACCAGTATAGCCTGAAATCTGCAGCCCAGACCTGGGTTTCTAGAGAGCACTTCCCCCCTGCAGTACTGTCCCCTAGTATAAAGGTCTCAGGGGGCCCTACTGTTCCCTAGCACTCTAGCCCAAGTGTGTGCCCAATTCCCTTGGGCTCAAAGAGGTCAGGCTAGGGTTTTCCATGACTTGGAATAGCTACAGAAAAATCAATCCTGAGAGAGAATGTGACTAGATGCTCTGGTTACACAGTGGCCTAGAGCCACAGGCCACACCCCTCTGAGCTGTCCTTGATTCATTTTTCCTTGCTCACAAAAGTCCAGGAATTTCTTCCTCAAAGGCAGAGCCTAGAAAGCAAGGCAAAAATATAGGATGCCTAGCCCCAGCCTGGCTAAGGCCAGCCTTCTGCACCTGTGCGCCTGATCACAGTGCCTTTCTTGCCAAAGCCTGACCCTGGAGTACCCACACCTTCCTATCAGGCCTCGACAGCATGAGTTCCGCAGAACACAACATCCTAAATATGCCTCCTCAACAATGTGCCTGCAGTTGGACCCATTCTAAAGGCAAACAGATTTGCAAAGAAATTTCCACCTTTACTTAGTAAGTTTGTTGATAGTATACCTGTACATCAACCCTGAAACTATTTTTGTGGGGTTGAGCAGATAAGTAAATATTTTGATTGTTGTTGAAACCCAAGGATCTCATGGTGGCAGAAGTGAGACTCAAATATGGAGTGAAAAGAGGCAAGTAACACATCTGGTGTGACTTTGCGCACATCTAGAGGCAGATGACAGATAAATGATAGGCAAGTAGGTAGAGAAATAGGCAGGTGAAAAGGCTCTAGAAGTCACAACACTCTAGAAACAGTAAGCACATCAAGTCCCCAGACCTTGTTTTCTAAAAATATCATGATACACCAAGAAGAACAAAAACTCCTCAGAGAAATGGCTAATTCCAACGTTGGAGAAAAGAAAATGCAAAAGGAGTATGAAATATTTCTTTGCTAAGAAGTAAGAAAGTGAGAAAATACAAGAGGCAGTTCAAATTTGGGGAAATTTGTGCATCAAGAATAAGCATAGCAGTGGACTCTAAGACATTGAATTAAAATAGAGCCCATGGGTCCATAAATTTACAGAAGGAAAGGGAAGCTCTTGTTAAGTACTCAAATGGAATGACAGCTAGAAAATCACCATCGTAGAGCTTTCAAAGTAATGTGACTCAAAATAAATAAATAAAAGTAACATGACTCAGTAGGAATCATCAGTGGATGGTAAGGCCCCTGAATTGCTGTATATGATGACAGGATACACACACAGTCCTGAAGCAGCTCTCATAGATTACTTATTAATTGCAAAGGGAAAATGGTACCTTCCAAGGACAGAGTCCTGCCAGACGTCACCTCAATCAAGTCACCACATTTAACATCACCAATACTAGACAAGTGGCCCTGATGTGAAGCAGGGAGGAGACAATGACATTAATTATGTCAGATTTCTGCCAAGCATGCATAACGTGAATCTAAGCATGAAAACACACTCGGGCCATCCCAAATTGAGGGACATGCTACAAAATAACTGAATGAGATTCTTCGGGAATTTCCAGGACACTTAAGACCAAAATACATGGAGGAATTGTTTGAGACTAAAAGAGACACACAAGTAAATACAGCGCATGGTCCTGGAATGGATTTTGCTGTGAAAAACTCACATATATCTTAAAAGATAATACTGGTAAAATTTGAAAATGGCCAGTATATTAGATAATACTGCCTACTATTATCATTGTTAAAATTCTGGTGCTTGGTGACTATTTGTAATTATATAAGAAAATTTCCTCATTCTTATGAAATACTTGATGAGGTTATTTTTAAGTCAAGGGTTAGGATATCTGCAACTAAATGGACAGTAGTTTCATTCTCTGTGGTATTTTCTGCTCTTGCCACCATGTGGCCGGTTCTTGCCCAGAGTTTCCCAGATGAATTCATTAGAGGGAGAGAATATGCTTGGCTGGGATCCTCCGCTTCACCCCTCTATGAGCAGAGCACTTAGAACTAAGGAAACGGTATCGATCTTTTATCAGGCTCAAGATCAGGCCAGGTGCCTACCTCTTGTCTATGCAGCTTCATGTGGTACATAACACGGCTGCTACCACTGCTTCCACCATGAAGGTGGTGGGCAAGGTTTCCTTATATCCTCTATCTCCAACTGCACAACTTAACCAAGGACATGATACCTGAAGACCTCTGACCTAACTTTGTGCCTAAATCTCTCCCTTAAGTCTTTCAAGAAACCTTACAGATGTATGTTCTGTGCCAGGTCATGTGCTAAGTCAGAGTTAAACTGACCCAGTCCTAAGCCTCAGGAGCTCTGGCTCAAGGTGGATAGGCACTTTAGAACTGGAGTGCAGTTCTAAATTGAATTACAACTAACAAACAGAAGGCACCCAATGCTAATGAGGCTCGAGCCCCACGCCAAGGAAAGCAAGGTGGGAGTGAAAAGCCTTCATGGGGCTGGCACTTGCTGTGACTCATGGGAGGGAAAAGGGCCCTCAGTGAGGGGGTCAGCTGCTGAATGGTGCCCATCCCATCACTGGGGTTTCTGTTTTCTCTCTGCACAGCCGGACCCAGCAGGCCGAGACATCTCCATCCGCCCACTCCTGGAGCACTGTGAGAACACCCACATGACCATCTGGCTCGGCATCGTCTATGCCTACAAAGGGCTTCTCATGGTGGGTGCATGGCAGGAGGCAGAGGTGGGGTTCACATCTCTGTTAGGCCTCTATTTCCTGGAGTCTCCCATCAACATAAAAATAAACAGAGAGCCCATGCCTAAGCAGTTACTTGCTGCCAGGTCATTTCCTTCATGTGTCTTTTCAGGTCCTACCACAATCCTACGAGATAGGCACATGTAACAGCCTTATATCCCTAGTAAGGACTCTAATGCTTGGTATCTTGCCAAGATCAATTGGCTAGGAAGTGGCCAAGTCAATATCTTAATAGAAAGCAACCCTGAAACCTCGCAACTGTCAAGTCCTACTCTCAGGAACAGCAGTCTGTGGACATCCAAGAGGCATTCCCATCCTGCACTTCCTTGGGTCATCTCTACATCCATGGAAAGTGAATAGAATCACATCTATTTTATGGATGAGAAAGGAAGACTCATAGAGGTTAAGGGATTTCTTCAAGCTTACCTGATACTCCAACCTCGGCACTCCTTCCTCCGAGCCCACACTACACAGGCAGGACTCAGAAGGTCAGCCCTTCCCAACCTTAGGTCAGGTGAGCCCTTCAGTCTTCTTTCCACAGCCAGTTTAAACCATGCCCCACTTGGTATGTAATAACAAAGCCCTCTCCAAAAGTTAAAGACAGTGGAATTTTTTTGTACTGCATTCTTTCCCAATGCTACTTCCCACAACTGTTAGTGATTACCCCATATCCTTCAAGAGACCACACCAAAGGGTGTATGTCAGGGTACCCTAGACAAATATTTTCTCTCACTTTGCCCCTAGTAGAGATGCTCTTGTGGTTTCCAGAGAATTCTTTTGCACTTTCCATGGAAGCATCAGGACCATTGGACTGCAGTATGGATTCCTCAAGGTAGTGACCCTACAGGTATCCAAAGGAGGTACCCAGAGGAGAACCATGAGGTAGAGGACTAGACAAGAGGTCCTGGACTCAAGGACACACACAGGGAACATAGTCACCAAAAACCTGAAGGAGCTGTCAGTGATGGGTAGCCCAGACTCAAGAAGAAAAAGAGATTTTTGCCACAGGGCAGAGCTCCACTCCCTGTAAAGGGTTAGCGATGAGCTCCTGTCACAAGAAACATGCCAAGTTGATGACTTGAGCTTCACCCAGCCCTTGGTGAATAAATAGAATGAAATGAAGGGAGCTGGCGGTATAGCTCAGCCACACAGCATCTGCCTGGTAAGGCCCTGCATTCGATTCCCAGTACCTTAATAAAAAAAGAGAGAGAGATCAGACTCCCTCCTTCCATAAGCCTTCCAGCTTCCATGTTCTTGATTTTGAGACTCCATGAAATTAGATAACGGTGACTCATTCACTCCTTTGAACTGGGTTTCTCTGCCATGTTTTCATCACTCATTATCTTCTCCCACCTACTCCAGAAGTAGTTGGAGATGCATACATCTCCCCAGTGAATTCCTTCAACTGGATCACATCAATAAAAGCTTTATTTGACAGGACACAAGCCTTACCATCTGTAGTGTATGCAAGGAACTTCCAGGAGCTCAGGGTTCATGGCTAGAATCCCATCCCTGCCCCTACCCTTTCTAAGCTGGAAGCACAGAGTCAGGCTAGAAAGAGCATGCACACACCTGTGTCCCGCCCCCAGCCCACCTGAGCATTCTCTGAGCAGTTCCATTGCCGGCCTGCTTCTACAGCTCTAGTGATAGGAACTCAAGTCAGAGCAACCACAACCATCAGAGGTTGGCATATTAGTCTCCTTTGAACATTGTAACAAATTATCCCTATAGATTATCTTAAAAGCACACAAATCTATTCTTTCACAATTCTGGAGGCCAGGAGGAGGCCAGAAGCAAGGTAAAGTTGTGTTTCATGTCAAAGTTTTAGGGGGAATCCTTCCAGATTCTTCCGATAACCATGGCTATAAACATCCTGGGCTTGCTGCTGCATGACTCCAAACTCCCTTTACTTCTCTGCAAGTCCTTGCTACTGGCTTTAGGAACTATCTGTATCATCCAAGATGATTTCATGTCAAGATCATTAATTAAACTGGCAAAGATACCTTTTCCCGATAAGGTCACAGTTGCAGTTTTCAGGAATCATAATGTGGACATATCTGTTAGGGCCACCATTCCACCCATTACAGATGGTTTCTACTTTGTGAGAAAGTTCTTCCTTACCTCAGTGTAACTCACACCCACAAATCCCCTCAGAGTCTCAGAGTGCCTTGCTCTCTCTCTCATCCTGTCATTCTGGCACTCTCAGATATTTAAGGTCAATTCCCAGGTCCTAGATGTGCCTCCATTTTGTGACTGGTGCAGATTTGCACAGGCTGGGTAGCCCATCGGCCCCGCAGGATGCATGAACTTCCTGTCAGAAGGCTGGCATCTTGAGGACCATCTAGCCCTGACACTTACTGCTCTGGTCCCCCAGGCAAGCGCCATCACCTGGCCAAGCCCCTCTTCTCCTGTGAGGTGGCCCAGTGTCTGTGAGACTCAAGAGGTCCCATGTGAAGAGCCATCACAAGGCAGGCTGTCAACTGCCAATGGCAAGGAGCCCTCAATGGCATCTGGTTCCTGGACTGCTGGTTCCTTTTTTAAAGAAAAAAATTTTAAGAATAAAGCAGGTTGCAAATGTTTAGAGAAAAGTATAACAGACAAGAGAAAAACAACCATGATTGTATAAGATCATATTTATCACAAAATAGTTCCTAATTTGCTACCAGATATTGTAGTTTACAAAGTGCTTCCACATCCATCCTCTTACTTCATCTAAACAGCAGCAAGTGTGAGCCAGGTATCAAGAAAATTCCCATTTCACAGACATTGAAAGTGAGGTCCTCATTTGATCAAAATACATTATACACATCAAATCCTCCTAAGAAAATGTGAAGCTAGGAGGGAGGGTGGGCAAGGGGCTGGTGGTGAGGAAATGACTAAGCATGCTCTATGTGTGTGTCAACCTGCCAAAATTAAATCCAGTAGTCCTAAGAAAAAGATGGGAGAGAATAAAGAAAGTTTCTCAGAAGTAAGGTGACTTGCTGAAAATCTCACAGCCAGCAGTGGGCAGAGTACATTCCAGAGCTTCTGGGTGGTAATTTCCCTTTTCAGTATATCAACTCCAGAGGCAAGCCCTCGGGCTAGCATGGAGGCTCCTGGTCTAGAGTTTTGGCTCTTTGCCTCCTCTTGTTCCACATCTCATCAAACACAGCTTCTACATCATGGCCTAAGACACCTGCTACAGCTCCACCCATCAGGGTGACTCCAGTTGCTAAAAGGAAATGCAACATCCCTTCCCTTTAAAGACACCACCCAGAAATCATCCACATTTTCTCTTTCAGATCATTGTTCAGAACCCAGTCTTATGCCACACTTAACTTTGGGGGAAATTGAGAAATGTGGTTTGTATTCTGAGTGGCTCTGCTCATTGGCAGACACTAGAAGTCCCAGTCACAAAGTATGTGCCCCATTTAATAGCAGAAATAGCTGAACTTAATAGCCTTAATAGATTTAATAGCTAAACTTCTAGAAACACAGTCCCCTTTGTCACCATATTTCTAGCTAACCTTCCATAAGTCCTTCCTTCCTCTCTGAGCTAGCATCCTCCAGAGAGTGAGAGGAAGTTGTGGACATTGTATACAATCCTCCCGCTACATCTTCACACTGTGTCCTCTGGTGGGTCTGTGTGTGAACCAGTTGTGGAAGTGAAGGGAAGCCAGACAGCTGTCACACGGATCCAGTCTGCTTTTTTTTTTTGTGGGATACAACCCAGGACCATGAGTAGACACGGATGGTGACATCCAGAAGACTTGGCTGACAACAAAGTCCCCGCCTGCCTTCCCAGCCCCTACTTCTGAGCAGTCCTCCATGCAACAGCGTTTTGGAGCAGCAAGCATGTGCCACCACATGGTAATGATCATCTCCCCCTCTCTGTTCACCATTTCAGTTGTTCGGTTGTTTCTTAGCTTGGGAGACCCGTAACGTCAGCATCCCTGCCCTCAATGACAGCAAATACATCGGGATGAGCGTCTACAATGTGGGGATCATGTGCATCATTGGGGCCGCTGTCTCCTTCCTGACCCGGGACCAGCCCAATGTGCAGTTCTGCATCGTGGCTCTTGTCATCATCTTCTGCAGCACCATCACTCTCTGCCTGGTGTTTGTGCCAAAGGTACTAGTCCTCTGGCCTCTGACTCCTTTGCAAAGATGTTGTTAGGATTTCTAAGTGTTATACATTGTTGTCTTATGAGGATGACTGTGTTATTCTATTTTTCAGTACTATAATAATATATCTTGGGCTAGCTAACTTTATAAACAAAAAAAGAGGTTGATTTAGAACACAGTTTCTGGAGGTTCAAGGGTGTGGTCAGCACTGGCTAAGCTGGTGAAGGTCTACACCAGATGGCATCACAAGAGTAGGACTGCATGTAAGAAGAAGAGATCAGATCTTGAAACAAAATGCCAAAGAGCAGTGCAGGAGCATGGCTCGCTCTTGGAACAACTCACTCTCCCAACTTGGTTCCAGGAGAAGGGCCTTAATCTCTTTTTTTTTTTACTTATAGATATTATGATAGCTTTTTTTCCATAATTTTATTGAGAAACAAATAGCAATGAGACAGTTTCAAATCAAATTGGCAGGATAGTTCCAATAATTAACACATTGCATACTCTGTTCCTAGTGGTTATTTGCTGTACAAGATGCAGACATGATATCCTATTTACAAACAACATTACAACAAATCCCTCTATTCATTAAGAGAATGTAACTATATATCTATCCTAACCATTTTGAATACACAGACACAAAATGAACATTCATCTGTATCTCCTTTTTTGTTTAGTCCCGTCATTTGAATATTATAGGTGTGCTAACTCAGCAAAATATTCTAAAAGAGTCCAGTAGTCCATAATAGTATTGGGTCTTCTGCATGACTGGCAATGTCGGAAACTGTTGACCTGAGTCCCCTACAGCTCAACATAACACTTAATCTCATCAAAGGACAAGCCCCAGTAAACTAAAAACCTCACTAGGCTCTGCCTCTTAAAGCCCCAGCACCTCACCCACACACACTGAGAACACATGAACCCTTGGGGTACACACTTAAACTGTCCAAACCATAGCAGTGACAATTCACATTTTAGGAAGTTTAGACACTGCAGAGAAGAGTTAGTTTCAGAAATTTCGCAATCCTAACACTTCAAAATTAACCAAAACTACAAATGTTTGCTTAGATATTTTTCTCTTTTGATTTGTGTGTGTGTGTGTGTGTGTGTGTGTGTGTGTGTGTGTGTGTTTCCTGCCAGTGATTCTGTATTTTAAATGCTAGGAGGTGATACTTTTTAAAATATGGCTATACTGTAGCACATATATTATTTCATAGTTTGCCTCTTTTATCTGTTTTGGTTTGGTTTTTGGTTTTTTTTTTTTTTTTGTTTTCTTTTGTCTTCTGTATTGTCCCCACATTCACAACTGTCACTGAGGGGGAGTTCATAATTTATACGTCTACTTGACATTTATGGGTCACCCTTACGGGTCACCCTTGCAGTTGTTTGCAGATTTTTAAGTGATATTTTTTTTCTATATAACACATTTTACTTGTTTTTTAATTATTCCCAGAAGATAAAACCAAAGAAGTGGTATTGTTAGGTCCAAAGGAATAATCATGTTTAATATCCACTTACATTTGCCATTTATCAGAAGGGCCGAGCTACAGGACCACTTTTTGCAAACATCCTCCTAACAGCAATGAGTAAGCAAAGCAACAGCCTTGGCCTCTAGGACTGCCAGCAGTGAGAGAAGCCTGACCCCAAGGGGTCTCAAGAGTAAAGGAAAAGATGAAGGAGTTATTGATCCAATTGAGGGGCAAGTGCTACAGAAAAGAAGAGGAGGGATCACCTAGGGCCCACTAGGGAGAAGGCTGCACATGGTGGCTCCATCCCTCAGGCCCCCAGCAGTCCGAGTCTATGTATCCTACAGGCTGGCTTCAGACCTCGGCCACACTTTCTCCTCTAGCTGTGCACACCTGCCCAAGCTCCAGACCAGTGCCCTGACTTCCCTGCCTGTATCCTGAGACTGTCCATTCTCTAAAAGATGTCAAACAGTTTTCTACACCCAGGTCGGACTGTTTCACTTGGATGTTTTGGCCTCCAGAGCCCCTCATTGCCCTTCTAACTCCATGACTGACTTCCTGGTGTTGAACTTGCTTTCAGGACCTCAGGGTTCCTCCAGTGCCCCCAGAGAACCCTATCCACCACCCTTACTGCCCTTCCTCCTCATGCCCTGAGCCCCAGGCCTCCCTGCATTTGCATCTACCATATCTTTGCCCTACGGTTCCCTTTGTACCACCATCCTTCCAGATCTTCCAGGGAACCAAGCCAGGCCACACACCGGGTAGGCTGACTGCCCTTCAGGCCAGCTGAAGAGTACATCCTTCTTTTTCTCCACACCACACCTCTGGACTGTACAGTCCTAGTAGACAGAGGTCATGACCCACTCAGCTCATACTTTCCAATGTTGAGTCAGAGCCTGCTACTGACAAGAAATGTTTCTAGAACAAATAGGATGCAACATTCTCTCTTCAATCCTGCCTCTGTCCCTTCAGCTCATCACTCTGAGAACAAACCCAGATGCAGCAACTCAGAACAAGCGACTCCAGATCACTCGGAATCAGAAAAAAGAAGATTCAAAAACATCCACTTCTGTCACCAGCGTGAACCAAGCAAGCACATCCCGCCTGGAGGGTCTGCAGTCAGAAAACCATCGCTTGCGGATGAAAATCACAGAGGTATATCTTGGGCCCCACTTGGGCCCCTGAGACAGGCTTAGAGCTGTGTTCCATCACATTCCTTCCCTCTGTGGTCCTTAAAGCTGCAGCAGCTCTAGTACCATAATCCAAGCGGTAGCAGTTTGTCAGATTAGACAAGAATCTAAAAAAAAAGAAAAAAAAAAGAGTCTATTGCCCACCTGGCCTAAGGTTTTGGGAGTCCAGCAAGGCCAAATTCAAGACATCCTCTGGAGAAAGGAACTCATGGGAGTCTGTGAGGCCCCAGAGTACCCACACTTAGATCCACCCATGTAAGCATGATGTGCACTGGGAGGAAAGGAAGTGAAAGAGGCTGGGGGGAGGGGGGGAGGTGCTTCAGCAGACCTCACCCTTGTCCCAAAAGTCCTTAACTACTTCTGGAATATTCTAGAGAGGCCACAACCAGATTCCTTTGTGCCCATATCAAACCAGATTCTGGACTTTGTACTCCAGAAAGGAGAACACAGATTCTCTCCCTGCCTTCACACTCCCTGCTGGCCAGGGTGTCTGACCAGACCAGCAGTCTGTGAACTGTGTCTTTTTCATAGCAGAGTGCCATGTCAGTGATGGGGACAGGAAAGGAACAAAGCAGCAAAGCAAATTGCTGGGCAGGGCTGTGGCTAAGTTGAAGTAACCAAGAGAATGCAAAATAAAGGGACCCAAAGAAAGTGTTTATTTCTATCTCCCCTAAGGGTCCTGAGGTGACAGGTCTTCACGGTCATTGCTACACTAGCTTCTTCCTCTCTATTTTTCCTCTTCTTTCCTCTTCTTTCTCTATTTTCGGCTATTCCTCAGGTAAAGCTGAGTAAAACATACTCTTATCAGATTCTGAAAGGGAAGAGCAGGAAATTCATGAAAGAGATTAAGCAAGTGACAAAAAATTTGCATATTTTTGGTCCTGATACAGTTGCTCTGATAAGGACTTATATCCACACACTCGGCAAGAGAAGACTAAGCAATGCATCCTCTTGCTGCAGGGAGAAGTGAGGCATAGGACTGCCAGATGATATACAGAATGCCCAGTGAAATTTGAACTTCATATAAACAACCAATTGTAGTTTCAGGATAAGTATATGCCATAAATATTTGGGATATACTTATACTGGGAGGGGGGAGACTTCTTGTTATCTGAAATTCTGATCTGACTTGGAATGCTGCATTTTATTTGCAAGACACAAGAACAGCATTTTATAGTTTCTAAGGTCCCCTCTCTGCCCAAATCAACCAGGACTGCTCCCCACCAAAGCATGCACTCCCCAGGCTTCTCTGGAACTAATGGCCCAGGACTCGCTCCTGTTGTGTAACTGGGCATGACAGGGGCTATCCTGATTACCTCATCTAGATGAGCCTCTGCTGGCCTGAGTGACCATGACAGTTGAGGCCTGCCAGCTCCACCCAGATAGTCCTGTGAGGGACCAATGATAACGATGATAGTTGCGTTGCTGTAGTAGCAGAGCTGGGTTTCCCATGCATCATCTCATTTAACCTTCACAACACTCCCACAAAGAGGGTACTATGATCACCCATCCTATGGATAAAGCAACTGAGACTCTCAGCATGGGACCATCTGGGGTTTGCCCGTAAGCCTGAGCTTTTCCCCCACCCCACCCTCCCTCTGTGCCCCTCTCCCTGGACATCCTGCCTTCCTGAATACCAACTCTCTGGCTTGCTTGGCCCACATGGGCCACACAACTTGCCAACACTCGATCCCTCTCATCATGCCTGCTACCTGCATAAAAGCAGCAGGTCCTCCTGCATTTCCTCACCCAGATGTGGGAGCCCGGTTCCTGCTAGTGCTAGGTAGGGGCTGGGAGGGAGCTGGCAGGGGGGGGGGGACTCAACCTAAGCGGTGACCTTGCCTTCCAGTTGGACAAGGACTTGGAAGAAGTCACTATGCAGCTGCAGGACACACCGGAAAAGACCACTTACATTAAACAAAACCACTACCAGGAACTCAACGACATCCTCAATCTGGGGAACTTCACAGAGAGCACAGGTGAGAGGAGGTGGGGCCTGGTCATAGGGACCAGATTTCAAATGCCAGCCCCACAGCACCTCAGAAAGGACTGGAGCCTGGTCTGAAGTCACGCGTGTAAAGCTAGGGCATCTGGGACTATCTGCTGGCCACAGTGCAGGGTCTGCCCAGAGTCTCCTCCACCTGGACCTCAGCTCCTGTTCCACACCTCGCAGTGCCAGGTCTGTGAGTGCACAACACAGCCCGTTTTCTCCAGTACTAGGCAGAGACCCAGCTCATTTTCCCTTTTGTTCTTAGCAATAGCTCACGTTTACTTCCCACAGCTGTCAAATGTGCCTCATCAAAGGGCAGAGAAAGAGTGGACTGTAAGATTGACATGACATCTCGTCTCACCAACCACTAGGGAAATGCACATTGAGGGCCACCTGTTGGCAACCTCTTAACAAAAATGTAAAAGATTACCAGTGTATGGGACTCAGAGTATGGCTAGGTGGTATAGCACTTGTCTAGCATACAGGGTAGTCCCAGGTTCAATCCCCAGCACTAAAAAGAAACAAAAATTCTAGAGTATTTAGAAATGAGTATTCTCCTGGAATTTAAGTCAGGCGGGCACTCCCTAAACGTGACGTGTTAAACTTCTTGACCTAGCAGTTCCACAGCAGCAAACTGCCCCTTGGAAATACTTTCCACATGGATGTTTATCACAATATTATACATAGAAAAAGTCTATAATTAATTTAAATGCTCATTATTTGAGATTATTTCACCAATTATGATGCAAACAAACATGTACATTGCTATTCAAAGATGAGTGGATCTATTTGTGTGAGTATAGAAGAATCTCCAGATGAAAAAAGCCATTATGATGCACACAGATGCATACACGCGTGCGTATTTGTGGGGGTGTGTGTGTGTGTGTGTGTGCGTGCGCCCATTTTTTAAAAAGCCCAGAAGTAGACTGGGGTGTAGCTTATTGGTAGAGCAATTGCCACCATGCATGAGGCTGTAGGTTTTATTGTCAGCACTATAAAACAAAAACAATAAAAAGCTTAGAAGAATATCAAATTGTTAATAATATTCACCTATGTGAAAAGGAATGGTGGTTGAGGAGGAATTCTTTTACACTGTATTTTACAGATTTCTTTGTTGATTGGATTCTGCCATTGGTATACATCATTACAATGTTAGGAAATCACTACTAATCAATAGAAAATATTTTACTCATAAAAATAATGAATATTCTTATCATAGAAGCAATGTTATAAAAATGTTTTAGTAATGGGCATTGAACCTAGGGCCTCTGCAATGAGTTTTTAAATTTTTGTTTTGAGGCAGGGTTTCACTAAACTCTAGTGAACTCCAGCTTGCAATTTTCCTGCCTCAGCCTGTGAGAGTGCAGGGTCTACAGATGTGTACCCCTGGGCCC